ATATATGGGGCATAAGTTAAGCCCATAAGGGAGTCACCTCCAGGAGTAATCCAACCTTTGTGATTGGAGATCCCATGAAAAATGATCAATTTGGTAGAAACAACCCATACTACGTGACTTGTAATATCACTATTTTATTTGCGCTCATCCCTATGGTGATATAGTGTTAATAATAATGTGATAATTGGAAAAGTTTAACCCTGAATAAGTACCGAGGCGAGAATTCTCGTCAGATGTGAGGCACATACCTTTGGAGGACTCACTTATGTAAGAGTTGTCACAAGGCCGTGGCTATGGGATTGGACTACTCTCTAGAGACTCTTATTAGACTCAAGATCAGAGCGCATGGTCATTAACAGCGCTACCCGCTATGAGTTGAGCCTAAATCGATACTGTGTGGAACAATTGAATTTTGGTTAAAGGGACCTAATTCAAGATTTAGTCCATTATGACTTCCTCAAATGGAAATTGTTATTTCTAAGTGAGGTTCAAATCTAAGAGATACCTACACCTATCACACAATATTATATTGCCGCTATCATACATTTTTTATAATTTTGAAAGTTGAAAATTTGTGTGGGATTGTTGTAACTTAAAATTAAGTTTTAACATTTCAACATTTAACCTATTTAATTTTCTATTTTTCTTTATTTAATAATCACTTTTGGGACAGTTAAAATATCATAATTCTTGTTATAACCTCTATTTTAATGACTTAATTGTGGGATTAATTTTCATATATAAAAGGTGGTTACATCTAATTGAAAATGAGCAATGGAATCCACAACTTATTTTTGTAAAGAGTGATGTTATTCAACATTACTGATATTTAACAGTAATCTAGGTGAAAACAATTATGTTATTAAATTATAGATTTAATTAAATATAAGAATTTATGACTCATTTATTAGGGTTAAATAAGATGTTGACGCCTAGATTGGTATTCAACACAACTGAATCAATGATGTTAGATATCATTAGCCTTTTTATTTTTTAAGAATAGATATTGTAATAGTGAATTTTTGAAAAATGTATGATTAAAAAGTAGGAAAATTTTGGATTATGTATAAACTTATTGTATTGAAAAAGTGTATAATTAAAAATGAATTTGTGAAAAAATGACTTTTATAGAATGGGGTACAAATGGGGCTAAATCTGACCATTTAACCATTTCAGCACTCTTTCCATCAACATATCATATCAACAATAGGATATAGATATGTAAGACGAGCATTTGGTACTCCAAATCAAGATTTGATGAAAAAGTCAAAAAGATGTAATAACAAATGTGCGCTTCGCTCCATTTGCTTCTCTGTCGATCAATAAGCAAGAGATTTTGGTAAGAGGTCAATAGTTCTCGAATTCGGCTACAATGCTTTGGGTACAGGGAGAAGCTGTACATGGTTTTATGTTTGGTGGCGGGGGGAGGGGGGGGGGGGCACATGTCATTCCTAATTAGGAGTTGGCAAAAAAGAAAAAAGAAAAAAAAGGAAAAATGCAACCATACTGGCAGAACCTGTAAGTCTTGTATATTGTTTTCCCATGTACTAGGAGAATAACTTAAACTTCGTGTGCTGCTGTGTTGCAATTTGGAGTTGAGATCTACAGTCTAATTTGATGTCTATCCAAAGATTCATTGACATATTGTTTTACGCCTATTTTTAAGCACAAGTGACAGTGAGAAGAAAGTTGGATATGTTAATTTAAAGTGACGTGTCAATAAATCATTGTGTAGGCAGCAATTTGGACAGCCAATTTTGAATACCAGATCTCAAATCTGCAATCTGACTCCACTTTCTATGTATTCAACCCACGTAATCTCAATCCTCCAAGTATGGACAATACACTCGTCTGAAAGAAGTATTACATTTCCATAAAAATGATTTAGCTGAGGCTGCCACCATCTTGCCAGTGCCGGCCCGGACCCAAGGTAAGTGAGGCCACTGCCTTGGGACTCAAATTGTAGGGGGCCTCATTTGTTAAGAAAAAAAATTGGCACAGGAAAACGAACTGCCTAAAATTAAAACTACTATCTACCGATGAGGAGTAACAAGTCCGATTGCAAAAATTCGGCGACTTCAGCGGACGGCACAGCAGGTTGGGCTTCTTTTTCACTTTTATTATTTGAGTAATTGAGTTTGTAGGTTTCCAGTCCGACAGTCCCGATTAGAGATTCCGACCTTGTTTGTTTCAATGCTTTGCCTTTGACTCTTTAAGTAATGATTTCTATCTTTTGATTTCTCATTTTTGGTTCCGTAATTAAACTTATTATGTTCCATAATTAAACTGGTTCCAGACTTCACCATGGCATTGAATAGATTAAACTTATTAAAGCTAATTTCAAGTTTTCGTGAATCAGTAAATGGGATTGGATGTTTTCTAATTTGGGTTTGTCAGTAACTTATGAATGTTTTGGAAATGGGATTCTAATTTTGGTGATATGTTGATTCTATTGCCACTGATTCACACAGAAAGCATTTACAAGTGATTGGGACAAGGATTTGAAAAGCTTGTGAGCAATTTATGATTTTGACTCTTTGCAACATCCAACAGGTACTTTCTATAGATACGTGTCTGTGATTCTATCTCTGTGTGTGGATTGGATAATCTTCATCATATGTATGTGTGGTTGAAAATTTTAGTGTTAATGGTCATTTTTCAATAATGAATGATAGAATTGCTCTTGAAAATGATGTGGTATTTTGCTTTAATTTTCTATTGCAAATACAAGTGATTGAAAAGGAGTAATGGTTATGAAAGTGATTAAGTGAAAATACATCTTATTAGTTATTTAATTCATTTTCTTATCATCTTATGTCTTTTTTTCTTTGAATTTAATTTGGATAAAAGTGCTCTAATTATGTTCAATATTTTTTGAATAAAAGTGCTCTAATTATGTTCCATATGATCTTACAGCTGCATTGTCTACTTCAATCACCACCGCAACCATCAATTTCTGAATCCTTTCATTTTGGGACTCATCAATCAGGTTTTATCGCTCTTTACTTGTTATTATGTCTACGAAAAAGTTTGAATCGGGATGTGCCAAAAGAAAAAGGAAGGAAAAGATTGAAAAATTGATTAAATCTCAAGAGGGAGCACTTGATAAGTTTTTTAGTAGTAGTAAACAAACACACAATGATGATGTAGTTACTGAAGAAGTGTTAAATGATCAGGACAACAATAATAACACAATTGAAGAAGGACATTGTGTGATGAATGAAGAAGTATCTACTGACAAAGATAATGAAACATTTTCTTTTGACCTTGTTGATCCAGCAAATTTGGGAAATATGAATAAGAATTTAAGAGATTTAATTGTAATGAAAGGTCCTGTAAGAGAAAATGATATAATTTTTTCGAAAGATGGAGCAAACTAACATTTCTCGTCCATACATTACGTTCGACGATTACATAATGGAGAGAAGCATAATAGAAAATGGTTGATATATTCAAAAAGTTTGGATAAAGTATTTTGCTTTTGTTGTAAGCTATTCAAGAATGATGGAATCAGAACTCAATTGGCACATGATGGAGTAAATGATCGGAAAAATATTAGTGAAAAACTTAAAATACATAAAGTAAGTTGTGACCACATCAATAACATGAGTAAATGGATAGAAATGAAATTAAGATTTGAAAAAAGTAAAACAATTGACAAAAGTGTGAAAAAACAAATCAATAGAGATAGAGAACATTGGAGACAAGTATTGCTGAGAATAATATCTGTGATGAAAACTCTCGCTGAGAATAATTTAGCATTTCGGGGGAATAATGAGAAGATATATAAAAAAAAATAATGGTATCTTCTTAAGCATAAGTCAAATGATTGTTGAGTTCAACCCCATAATGTAAGAGCATGTTCGTCGACTAAAAAATAAAGAGATTCATTATCATTATCTAGGACACAAAATTCAGAATGAGTTGATATTTATGCTAGCGGGAGAGATAAAAAAATCGTTGAGAAACTCAAAATTTCTAAATACTTTTCTGTTATATTTGATTGCACTCCAGATACAAGTCACGAAGAACAAATGTCAATAATATTGAGGTGTGTAGATGTTTTGACAAGTCCAGTGAAGGTTGAAGAATTTTTTTAGGGTTTTTATTAGTGGATGATACATCAGGTAAGGGACTTTTTGAGGAATTGGTGGATGCTTTGAATAATTTAGAACTTGATATTGAGAATGTAAGAGGTCAAAGCTATGATAATGGTGCTAACATGAAAGGACAACATAAATGAGTTCAAAGTAGACTACTACAACTAAATCCTAGAGCATTCTACATTCCTTGTGGATGTCATAATCTTAATCTTGCACTTTGTGATATGACCACTCGTTGTTTAAAAGCTAAATCTTTCTTTGGGGTGGTGCAACGTATATATACTTTATTTTCTTCATCTACTAAACGATGGAAAGTTTTCAAAGAGAATGTAATTGGTCTTACTCTTAAGCCCTTGTCACAAACTCGTTGGGAAAGCTATATTGAAAGTGTTAGAGCGATAAGATTTCAAGCTCCGCAGATAAAAAAAGCGTTATTTCAATTAGCAAATGTTGATGATTCTAAGACAAAAGGTGAGGCGGAGTGTTTGGCAACATATGAGATTGATAATTTTGAATTCTTATTTGGAATGATCATTTGGTATGAAGTGTTGAATAATGTTAACAGTAAGCAAACATTTGCAAGCAGAAGACATGCATATTGATGTTGCTATAGACCATTTAAAATGCCTCATTTCATTTTTCAAAAGTTATAGAGAATCTGGTTTTGAATCGGCCATGGTTGATGCTAAAGAGATTGCGAGTGAATTAGAAATTGAATCGATATTTCGTGAAAAATGGGTTATACATAGAAAAAATAGTTTGATGAGACTTCTTTTGAAGAGATAACACAAAGAGTTGAATAATCTTTTAAGATCAATTATTTCATATATAGTGGATCAAGCTCTATCATCACTTCATAATAGATTTGAGCAATTTCATAAATATGATGATATTTTGGGATTTTTGTTTGATTTGAAAAGATTTAAATCTATTGATGATGATGTTTTGAAGTGTTCTTGCATTAAACTTGAAAATTACTTGAAGCATAATACGATTTTTGATATTGGAATGAAATTATTTTCTGAGTTGAGAGTCTTAAGGGAAGCGATATCTGCAAACATTTTTGGAGCAATTGATGTATTGGATTACATTAAGAAAATGAGCTGTTGTTATGCAAATGTCTGGATTGCATATAGAGTATTATTGACTATTCCCGTTACAGTTGCCTCTGCTGAAAGAAGTTTTTCAAAGTTTAAGTTGATTAAATCTTATCTTCGATCATCCATGTCATAAGCGCGATTGAATGGATTAGCTATGATTTCTATTGAAAAAAATATGTTGGACAAACTTTATGTTAATAATTTGATTACTAATTTTACATCTCAAAATATGAGAATGTTAAATCTTATGCTAGGCTAATCTTTCGAGTTGTGAAAGAAGTTTTATTTTATTATTCTATCTTTCGAATTGTATAAAGTTTTCTTTCTAATATAAAAGTGTTCATTATTTATTTACATATTGTTGACTTGTAAAATAAATTTTGTGTTGAGGGACCCCATAATAATTAAATGTCTAGAGCCTCTAAATTCTCAGGACCGACCCTGCATCTTGCCTTTCTTGTTTCTACAAATAATCCTAATGCTGTAGAACCCATGTCCATCTTTCACTCTTGTATCGACATTTAACTTCACTTGATTCAGTGGAGGGGGCTTGGCTTCCATTTCAATTCTGCTCCGTTGTCCCTGCTAGTGACACCCTTCGGAATCCCATCAATGGTCATGATTGTCTTTATTCCACAAGATATTATCTAGCCTCATTGTAGCTTGATCATAACAATGCTGAATTTCCTCAAGTTCTTGGCACCCTAACATTTCAAGAAGAGAATCGTTATTAATTCCTCTTGTGACTTTTATCAACATATTACCCACATTGTTTCACAAATATTACACAATCCATTCAATGAAAAATGGATAGGTTCCATACATCTGAAAAGGTCTCACACCGCAACAAAGAATGAATGGGGCTTTCGTCTCACCACTGTAACATCTGTTCACATCAATATTCCGTTGGTTCAGAGCTAGATTAGTTGGAAGAATATCAATAAACAATTTATAAATAAAGAACTTGATTTTACTAGGTATATTTCGGCTCGAAAGAAAATTCCACCATGTTACCAACAGATTTGCTCCCTACTGAGATTTGGACAATCTAATCTATCATCTAAGCAGTAGCCCCAACTTAACCATATAGCATAGTTATTAAACCTGACCCAATATGGTCGGATTGCTTAAATGACTAGAAATTATATTAAACCCTTGAAGTCCGCATAAATAGGAAGTTTTTTGTAAATTCGTTGCCCAATTTTACCAAGTTCTAAAAATTAAATTTACATTTTTGTATGAGAAGTTACCTTGAACCCTTCATTTTGATCTTCAATTTCAAAAATCAGGTATTCATAATTTTTATTCAAAAGCCAATTATAATTATTTTTTTAATTTAAAAACATATTATACATCCTCACTACAACTACGCCCTCCCACTTTCTAAACAATGACAATACCCCCCATGGACCCATGTACCTATCCTTGATAAGGGTTTTTTCTAAACTAATAGGGGCTCTGTTTGTCCAGGGGGTACAATTGAGCCTCCCTATTGTCAGGAAGTCTGTGTACGTGGCCCTATCCATTTAGAAAAACCCCGATAAATATATGTTCCACTTCTCTCTCTCCATTGTATATACCCATTTCTCTTTCAGAAATTGAATTGCCCTACCCACATCTGATAATATCTATTCAACTTCTCTCTCTCTTTCTCTCTCGTAGAAACTCATTGCCCATTCAAAAATTGAATTATAGCAACATTAATGACAGTTGGTTTCACATAAAGAACATGAGTTTCACCATCGTGGATTCGTAGTAATGAGTTTTTTGTTGGGATAATAGGGAATCATCTAGCCACTGTAGATGCAAAGAAACTTAGTAATGGTGGATTTCGTGGCGTAATGATGGTGTGGTAGATAGACAGGGGCGGACGCAGACATTTTACATTAGGGGGTCACAATCAAATTTTTAAGAAAAACGACGAAATTTTTTTATTACTTTATGTGTTATAAATTGTTATACTATTTTTTCATCTAAAAATTTTTTATATGCACAAAAAAAATTCAATCTTTTTAGGATTTTTTTATTATTGTTACTTTTTCCTCTCAATCAATTAATTTTTTTTAAAAATAATCTATTAAGTTTCCTAATAAAGTTTTTGGCGTCATCTGAAAAAAGAAAATTAATTGATCAAGAGGAAAAGGTAACAATAATTAAAAAAAATTTAATTTTTTTTTATATATAAAATTTTTAGATATAAAAATAATCAAGATAAAAAAGTAGTATGACAATTTATAACCACTATGAAGTAATAAAAATTTTATTAAGATTTTTTACATCAAAAAAAAAATAAATTTTGACGTCATACCACATATAAAATTTTCTAATAAAATGAAGTCAATTATATTGAGAAATTTGTAGCGTAAAAATAATAAACATTAATAAAATAATTGATTTTTTTTTTCAAAAAAGACGAGTTATACGTCTCTTTTTAGTATACACGTTTGACGTACGTTTAACCATTTTCGATATTCATTTAAATCATTCGATATGTGTATGATATAATTCTCGAAATAAGTTTCAAGAGAATATAAAAGATTTATGGATATGGCTAGCATATAATCGTCGAAATTTTTTTAAAGTTAGCTTGTTATCGAAATTCTCAAACTATTAGTTTGGAACGGCCTATTTTGACGCATCGTAACATTTGTTACGATTGGCCATTTCGCACAAGATTAACGATGTGAAATAGTAGACCGTGAGTACTTTAAAATCATATTAAGAATGTAATATCAACTTCGTTTGATATTTCATAATGAGCCTGAAAATTAAGACCAAAAAAAAAAAGGAAAAAAAAGAAGAAGAAAGAACTTGAAAAATCTGGACGGTCAAGTGACCCTAGGGGATCCCCTTGGGTTCGTCCCTGTAGATAGAGGTGCAATGGATGTTGTGGTGAGTTGGCGACTATTTGGAGGGGGATTATGGTGTATAGATCCATGTTGTGGTGGTGTGGTATAAATATTTGCATCGTGGTGATGCAGTGGTGGTGGTGAGGTGCACGACGTTTAGGTATAGATCTGCATGATGATGATACAATGAATGTATAAATTTGCATGGTGGTTCGTGATATGCAAATTTGCATGGTTGTGGTTGTGAGGTGGTGACAATGTTTGGATGGTGTCGATGCTAGTGGAGTGGCGATGGAATGGAGTAGGGTGGGATGAGGAGTGATTGTGATCAATTATTTGGATAAGCATAACCAACAAAATGGTAATTTGTGATCAATAAATAATATGTGATCTAAAAAAGTGTGTTGCAACTACATTTGTAATTGTGAGCCACAATTTGTGTATTTGTGATTGTGACCTTGTGTGATTTGTTATTAGTATGTGATTGTGACCATAAATTATATATTATTATGACCTTGACTTGTTTAATTAATACAAAAAAATTTATCAAGTGCTCACATCGACCAATTGATTGACCACCTAATTTTTCAAAGAATTCACAAGTTTCTTAAATTTGAAAGTGTATATTGAAATTAGAGTCCATCTGATTGCAAATATGAAATTTGGGTGAAAGAAAATGAATTCCAGGAAATTGAATTGCCTAGAAGTTGTTTTACTGAAAATTGTCAATTTTTATGTTTGATTGATATAATTTTTTATGTGGAAAAATGTTGAAAAATAGTGTTTTTTGGTGTTCATTTGACTTTATTTTACATGAAAATTATTAATTAAAGGGATATAATTTATTGGTATTGGAGATAAAATTTATTTCCATTCCCCAAAAAAATAAAAAGAAAAGAAAATCATCTATCTTTTGATATTCGTTTAACTTTATTTTACATAAAAATTGTCAATTAAAGGGAAAATAATTTTTTTTACAATTAAGAATAGAATTTGTTTTCATTGAAAAAAAAATAAAAAAGAAAAAGAAAAGAAAATGGAACAGTAGCCTAAAAAAGCCAAGAAAAGTCCCCTTTTCGAGAAAACCAAGAAAATCAATTCCGGTTGGGGGGGATGAATCTGTGATAGGACGTTTCGATCTTTACGTTGGTTCTCTTCTAGTGTCCAAGTTTTGGCCATCTTATCAAATCCCAACAAAACATCATTCAAATCGATTTTAGCGAGCATAGCTCACATTTCACTTGCCACAATGAAAATTTAGTGTTGCAATACAAAAGTAGAATATCATACTTCATGATTACCATCACACACACAAAAAAAAAAAAAAAAAAAAAAACCCCCCCTTTAAAAAAAAAAAAAAAAAAAAATGCGGGGGGGGGGGGGGGGGGGGGGAAGAACTATCAAACAGCCAAAAAATGAAAAATGGTATTTAAATTTCATTTTCCATGAAAAATTCATACCTATCAAACAGACCCTTAGTAATTATGTATTTTTCCCTTGCTGTATATGAAGGGACTTGATCCCTGAACCTAAGTTTTAAGGCTCGATTTGAACGGGTTCCAAAATATGATTTTACATATATTAAGGTACTTCATCCATTTACTTCTAGGTTTAAGGCCATTGAGCTTACCGAAACAAATAAGATATTGTTGTTGTCAATTATGGTTTATAATATATTTGTTAGACTGATTCTGTTATTATCTTAAAATATTTTTGAAAAAAAAAATATATTCCTACATTTCATGAATTTTTATCTTCAAATAATTATTTTACGAACATGTTATGTATGAAAATATTATTTTTAGTTATGACACATCAAATACTTTAATAAAACAAAATTTTTGATTGACAACTAATAAAATGTTTGAACCTTCGCTTCTTCTCATCTTTTTGTTCAAGGACAATACTTTTTTGAAGATGAAGTATCAAGTCTATTTTGTAGATTATGTAGACATTTGACTTACGGGATTAGCTCATGATTAAAGTGTGTATTTCTGTAGATGGCGCTAATTCTTTGACCTTTAAATAGGAGGTGAGCTGTTCACTAACTCGCCAATTCAGCTCGTCCGGAGGTGAGTTGTGGGTTCGTGCAAAGTAATGATTTGGTCATGCTAGCCGTTTACCGGCTCGTGTTTGTGCTGACTCACCAAATTTAGAAAAATATACAATTTTAATTTTTTTTTTTAAATATTGCAAGTTAGTAGCGGCTCTCAAGACGACTCGGCTTGGCTTGTCCCATCAAAGGGCGAGCTCATAGGCCAGGTCGAGTCAAATTATACTTTTGTTGAGTGACTAAGCTCGCGCTTGGGTTGTCTCATTTGACATTCTTACCCCTAAATCTTGTTGGGGCCTAACATTTAGTAGATGTTGTCTCCATCCCTCTCCAAGTGTGTGATACTGTGCAATTGGAACACATGCGTTAAGACATGCAAGATTGGGCCTTCTCCAAACACAAAAGTACAGAGACGATCGAGATCATATGTGTTTCGATACTCAAGTTAGGTCCTTTTGTACGGTGAGATATATGTCGGGTATGGGAAGAACACTCAGGGAGAGAGAATCTTGGAGTCGGGTTTATAGTGGAAGTAAGAAAGTGTTGATTGCTCTTGATATTTACAATTGTAAGTATTTATAGGCTAGAGAAACGAATGGATGCTTGACACACAACTCCATTCCAACAACTTATTGAACAAGTTTTTCATCATTTCATGATATCGCGTCCTAGGTATCAATAGTTCCTTGATCCCGCACTATGTCCTAATCGGGTAAAAGAATGTCTACACTCAATATCGCGTCCTAGGTATCAATAGTTCCTTGATTCCGTAAGTCGCATCATTTACATAAGGCTTGATGGTCAGCCTCTATCTCTTTGTTCATGGAGGCCCACGTTATATTGTTAAACATTAAGAATCCAAAAATCGTCTCGAAGAAAGAAAGCAAGATTCTATACTAAATTGGATAAAGATATTTGTACAAAATTTGGTTTACAAAAAGTTTTACTCCCTCTCACACGCATGTGGGCCCTGCATGAAATAAAAAATTCCAACATATGGTCCTACCTTTCCATTATGAGTGTAAGTAAAACTTTTTGTAAACCAAATTTTATATATCTAGCATTGTCCTACTAAATTACCTAGCCTCGGAGGCTATGTTGTCCCACATAGCCTCGAAAAGCACTTATGTGGCGTTCTTGCTTAGTGAAAAGCCACGTAGATTGTTGTGTAGGCAGAAGCGTAGCAAAAATTAAGGGAGAAAATATTTTCAAGGAAAATTAGATATTAAAATTTGTATGGTTTCTTGCGTGTGCGTAATTTGATTGCAAAATAATGATGTCCTTTCTAAAAATTTAATTTTTCTGGTCAAATTAACAGTATTCAAATATCATTTTAAAGCCTCCGTTTGATTTCTATTTTCTTAAAAATAAAAATAAAAAATATAGTCATTACAGAATCCACATAAGAGAGAAGAAATCAAATATGATGGTTCGATGTGATGAATAAAGGTGATATTTTTTATTTTTTTGGTCAAAGAATGAAAAATAAACGGGCCTAAATCCAGTTTAGAAAGGGTAATTGTTGTGATTTACATTAATTTTATGTTGAAAAAGAATGAATAATGAGTGCCACCTGGACAGTTTTGCTGCACGAAAATTGAGACTATAATTTAGAAGAAACACACTTGAATGTTTATTTTGTACTGGTTTAATTCTTTACCGTTCAATATATCAAATATATTTCAAAATTATGTATCACGATGGAAATGTTTCGCGTGCAATTACGATGAGTTGATGTAACGAGTCATTATAGTATTTATTGGTACATTATTATGACAGGTGATATTGTACCCAAGTACTTGGACAAAATAATTAGGTATGCTTGGGTGTTAGCCAATAATCATATTTTCTCCGAGCATTATGCAAATTTTCATTGATTTTTTTTTATTAAAATCATTCTTATTAATAATTTGATAATTCTCTCCGTACCTTTAAAAGAAAAAGATGTAGAAGATGTTTGTCTTATACTCAATGGACCAAAGGACTCCAAAGAGACATAAGGCTATGTTTGATTGTACTCAATTCTATGAAAAATAGAAATTAAATTCCATCTTTTCAAATTTTTGTTGTTTGATTGGCAAAATTTTCCCTAGAATTCGAATTCCACCTAAGCTAATTTCCATGTTTTCCTTGAATTCCAATTCTCACCATTTGGCGAGAATTGGAATTCTCGGTTACTGTAGTACTTTTTTTTTTCAATTTTTTTGGTGGTCTAAGGTTTTAAAATGCACATAACTTGGAGCAAGTCTTATAATATGCACGCTAAATTCATTAATTTTTCCATTAAATGATTGAAACACACATAATTTTCGTAAATCATCGCTTTAATATTACGTTGAACTACCTCTCTTAAAATCTTAATCGTTTGAGGGAGATAATTCAATAGTATGGTCTGATATGACATGATATTATATTCGAGTATGATCCATTCTCGTTCTATTTTCCCTTACAAGTTTCTAGTATGAATCGTTAAACATCTGTGTAGAATCTATCGTCAAACATAATTTTCTTTCCCTTTACTTTCTAAATCAAATTCTAACAATCAATCAGCCGACCTAGTTTCATTGGTTTCCATTCCACTTTCCAGTGAGTTTGTTGACAGTCAACATGGAACATACAGCGTAACAACTTTTGTGCTCTACTTTCCCTACGACTCCTATTGCTATTATGACTATTTACTTTTTAGTTGCCTCATAGTCTCTGATTGAATCTCCTTATCTAGCTCTTTGACCTGGTCAAGTTGTCTCTCTTGTTTTTGAGAACCAAGGACACATCGCCTTATCTATGAAAGGAGTCAATTGAGTTCTGAACGAATTAGCTAACAAAGAGAATGGGCCATATGGGTGCCCTTAGCGGCCTTGAGATTACCATAACAAAGATCTCAACTATGCCATCGAAGGGGAAGGCTAAATACTTTTAGATGACCAATAACGACTTTTATTTAATCCATTTTCCAGCTTTTATCTTGAAGACTTCCTAGTTGTATAATTTCATTCTTTAAGAATTACAGGGACCGCCAAGTTCCCGCTTTCTAGTCTTTCTTTCAGCATCGCCTTGGGGAATAACAATTACTCTTTCCCCTTGTACGGTCCCTCATCACTTATGAGATCGTTAGATTCTTCAATTTGTTCAGACTCCTAAAGCGAGAAAAATTAGATGAATATGACCACCCATGAAAAATGGTCTATAGTAAGGTTAAATAGGAGCCTTCAACTCTAGCCAATAGTTTCAAGGACATTGTCTATCAAAATAAAATAATTTTATGTTAATAAAACACATCAAATCAAAATACATCTGCAAAGATAAAAGCTGTATATAATGATTGTGATTATGCATGTAGACCCATAATGTGATGCTTCAAAGTTAAGTTTTGATTTGGTAATTTTGTAGGTGGCAAGTAGACAACAAGTTTGAGGGTATATTGAGAACGTACAAGGAGACTTGCTTAAAATTTACGTCATTCAATGAATTACAAACAGAAAAAAATGGAAAAAAGAAAAATGAAAAAATAAGAAAAAAGAAAAAAAGAAAAGAAGTAGAAGCATTTATTTTTGTATGGGAGAAAATGAATAAGAACAAAATTTGTATTGAATTTTTATTTGTCGGTTGTGCGTAGTTTCTTGATTCGAACGATTTAATTGTTTTTTAATTCTTGATTATATGTTTGTCAACTGCTGCCTCATCATTTGATTAAGTCGACCGAATGTGGGAACTATCGAATTTCTTAAAGTTTTAATATATGCAACTAATATATAAATAATACAAACTTACTAGCGCACATATTCTTTAGATGCTTAAATAATGAATTCATCTTACCTAATCTTCATAGATATTAGGGAATATAGTGTTAGGTAGTGTTGACCTAATTAAATATGGTCAGGTTATTATTGAACCAAAATAAATAGAAAGGGAGGGGCGGGGGGGGGGGGGGCATGTGCCTCC